CAATCAGGCAACATATTTAAAAGAAATTGTTTAAATAATGCTTCTAAGCAAACAAAAGGCATACATTTTTCAAACTATCTAGATGAGATATGCAAGTTGAATAGTCATAGTAATGCTAATGTTCTTAAACCTTTACAAATGTAGAATCGATAACTTCAAAGAGAATTATCTAGATGGATAAATTACTACAACAAATTCTTACAAGGCAAACACCCTTGTAACAACTATTCAGATCAAGAAAGGAACATTGGGTTCCCACCAAGACTCTCTGCCCTACCCAATCACGGTGACCTACCTGCTGCCAAAGAACCACTGGCGTGACTTTGACAATCCTTTCTTCCTTTTCCTTATACGTTTACCACCCAAGTATGTAACCTTAAAGACTGTAGCTCCATGTTGGCATTTTTCCCCCCTACTATGTCTTTCAAGTCTATTTTAATCTATAGCTTTTTTCTCTCTCCATTTCCTCTTGTAAAAATGATTTCTGAATAAACCAGACCTTGCAACCTGTAAACCGGCATTTCCCATAGCCTGGATTTGGCTGAGTTTATCAGTGCAAATATTACAACTAGTCAGTAAAAACCAAGCCATAAGGAGAGTGTCAGGTAGATTTAAATATAGACACCTATTCTGCCAAATTCATAAGTGCACTAAAACTCAGTTTCTCTAACAAAATGTTGCTCTTTTCTTTTTTTTAAAAACATAGCTTGGATACAGTTGCTTTGCGGTAACCTGCCTCTTTCTACCTTCCTGATGCCTTAGACATTCATTCCCGGTAAAGGAAAAAATAATACATTAGATGTATAAGGAAGGTCGAGAAATCGATAAGTATAAACAAAATTTTTAAAAAAGGATTTTTTCTTAGGAAAAAAATGAAAATGACCAGCAACTTCTATTAAGCCCTTTGATTATCTGAAAAATTTGGTGCTTTTCTTCCTTTAAAAGATAGTCAGATGCAGTTACTGGCAGAAAAGACATGATATCAAAGCAAAATCAACATAAGGGCAACATAAAATCGCTGATTTTTCTTAAGTACAGCAAGAAAAACTATGTACATTTCTATCTTCGCATTTACTCTCCCACCACATTCTTTTCAAGCCCCAATCTCTAGCAATGGCCTTTGGGCATGGAATAAAAATATCTTTGCCATTAAACCTACTTGATAAAAGACCTTGGGGCAAGTTATTCAACACAAGCTTCCCTACATGAACAGTAAGGATACTATATACCTTACGAAGTTGTTGGGAGCTCAAACTAGATAATAGCTATAAAGTGTCACACAGTAAATGCATAACAAATGTCAGTCTCTTCTTTGCCTCTTCCCGGCCAACTGGTATCAATTTTCATTTAAATCTGTTGACTTTAAAAAAAAAATCAAGCTGTTGAGAATCAAAAGTTCAAATAAAGGACATAAAAATTTTGGGTTTTCATCTCATCAGGTGCAAAATAAATCTTTCTGACAATGTCCTTATGAATGGAGCCACTTAGCACTATGCATGAACTTGAAGAACCAACAACAAAATTCCCCTTTGCAGTATTTCCTGCCTTCCTCCTCTTCTGCCGGGTCCCTCTACTACCTCTCTGGATTAGTCTTTATTTGTTCAACCACGTAGCATGAGGAGCCTGGAGCGCTTCTACTCCAAACCTAACTTTATTGGGAAGGAAACTGAGATCCAGAGAAAGAAAACGACTTGCTAAGGGACACTCAGCTAATTAACAGTAAAGACAACAGCCTCAGCAGGGCTACTCCTTGGTGGCTAGGCTTTCTCCACCTGTGCATTCCTATCACAAAACCCTGCCAATGCTTACTGGTTACAAACTAGATGCCCACAGGAGTCAGTAGGTAAAAGAAATGAGAGCAAAGACAGGGGCCTCAGTGGAGGGGGTTGGGCCACTCTGCTCCCGTTCATGGTGATCCTGTAGGAAAGAGGGCTCTGAATTGCGAGAATGTCTTATTAGTGAAGGAGATGATGGAAACCTGAAATTTTATGGTTAATCTCAGTTGCAAATGTTGACAATATATTAAACATTTTAAAACTTCTCTTCAGGTAAAATAAGCACATCTATGCACTGGACTTAGTCCACAGCTGGCTATTGGAGGGCTCTGCATGCTGCTAAGCCTAATTTAAATTTATTTTATTTTATTTGCTTTGATTCCTGCACACTCTGCTCAAAAAACTTCAAGGGCTCCTGATGGTCTATAAGATGAAGTCTAAACTTCCTCGCTAGTCCTTTATGGCAATCCAGGACCACAGCCAAGGTCCCAAGCCCTACTTCAACTTTGCAGTCCATTTCTGTCTTCTGCTGCAGCCACAACAACCAACGAATTGCCCTCTACATATGAAAATGCACAGAAAGGCACCTGCCCAGGTCACCAGGGCCCACTCTTTGGTCTCTAGGCTTTCTCCACCTGTGCATTCCTATCACAAAACCCTGCCTTTCCTTTAGCTCCAACACCACTCTCCATGAACACATCCAGAATGGCCCCTGCTGCAGGACTTCATATCATTTACATATGCCACCACATACTCTTTGTCTTGGAGTTATTTACATCTTCCCAAACACCTAACAACATTCATGGAAGGAAAGTTTTGGATCTTGAACTATACTGAATGACCCCACAGTACTTTGTACAGCACAGTGAGTTCAATAAACATCTTAGGAACACTATCCTTTTGTACTGAAAACTTGTGGATCCAACTGTGCAGAACTGTGTCACATCCATGCTTCTATAGCAGGGTTTTTACCAAATAGACAGGCTCTTGCATGCAAAAGGATGACTACTTCACCTTCCTGGCTCCCCAAGACATCTTCCCCACTGAGTTAGCACTTTCTACATGCTTTGAGATTTCCTCCTCTAGAAGCACTCATGTTTCTGCCTTAGACAACATTGTTTCTAAGCAGCTACTGTTAAATAGCCATGTGCCACATGCAGGCATTTCATGGGGTATCAGTCTTTCTCAATAGAGTAAGATTAATTAAGCAGATCTGATGGTAATCACTGTGAAAGGTACAGAAAGCTGGACTATCAGCAAACAGATACTGTGCAAATATTTCAGATTTGATAAAATCAATGAACCCTAACAAGGAGCACTAAATCTTGGCTAGCCAGCAACCAAGGCTAATTGTGATCGCCAGCGTCAGAAATTTGTATCTCACACTTTGTTATTCTGGAGCTGCACCCATGTTCAGTCATCTCTAATCAGTTAGTGTCAAAAAAGAAAAGAAAGAAAAATTGGACTCCATTTAATTTTTACTGGCCTGGTTAACAGTAGGGGCACTCAATAAAATGTGTGTTGAATGGATTTTTAAAAATCAATTTTTACTCTTGCTTAACATGAAAGTAATTATCCTTTCAGCAATTACTGAAAGGAAAAAAAATACTACAGTGATCTAAGACAGTCTAAATTTGCACAGAATGGAAAAAGCTGATACAGTCTTATTTCAAATCAACAACAGTTTAGATAAAAGCTTGGTAATTTCATTTAGCATATAGAGGTCACACCCCTTCTAACATGTACAAATATGAACTGTCAAAGGCAAGTTAAGCTTTGCAAACATTATCTGCCTCACATTTAATGTCACATGACAATCTGTGTTCAAGTAACAGAAGCCAAGACAATCAAGAATTCCAGGAAATGTTAAAGAAAACTAATGACTGCAGATGGTTCCACTGTGAAAACAATGTTTTCTTCTGCTCTGGATGATGCCATGGTAGGTCACATCTATTAAACCTCTAATTTCTTTACTAAGAGTGGGCAATTCATTCCTAAACTTTCACTGGAAATGCTTCTAGTATAAGCATAGTATAAAAGATATAGTCCAAGAAGTTTCCATAAAAGTGATTCTTTTCCTTGTAACTCCTGTGGGTAAAAGGAAGGGGTGGGGGCAGAATAAGTCTTCAGTCCCCTCAGATTTCCCATTTTAATCTCTCTTGTGGCAAAGCAGACTTGAAACAATGCTCTTCCATCTGTTGAAAACCTATAACGTGGACACGAGTATTTATCTTTATATAAATAAATTATCATCTGACTTTAGAAACAAACATCCAAGACACTGTTCAAGCATAAAAGGAACCTGGATCTTTGATATTGGTTAAAAGCCCACACTGACTCCAATAACAACAAATATTTAATGGTTAAAATTTGTAAAATAAAAAGATTCATGTTTTTGTTAAAGAATAAGAACAAAGCAGCACTTAGGAAAACAAGAGGAAGCTTGGAAACCACTACATCAAGCTCTCTTGTGCCCACGGAAAAGAATATAAACGCTGCAAGAGGCAAGGCTCACCAGAGATTGCGTTCTTTCTTTCTGTTTTTTTTTTTTTTTTTTTTTTAACTTTAGACCTAGCCAAAAAAAAAGGCAGGTCCAATCCCCTTTGGTATTGTTAAGTGTACATTTCCAGCGTAAACAGGCGTTGTTTATGTTGATGTTTCCCAAAGGGTCGTTGATGAAGAATGAAAGAGCCATGCAACTACGACCTGAGAATATCAGTGTCCCTCACACGGAAATGGAAGCACTAGGCACTTGGGGACACACCACCAGAGCATCTGCGTAGAGGTGACATTCGGATGCTCTTAATGAGTTTCCTACTTCTAAGAACCCGATGTCTTTTTTTTTTTTTTTTTTAAACTGTACAAGGGTCCTGGGGTGAAAACGAGTGAGGATTCACCCACACCCTGGGTCTCCTTCTGGGAGCAGGCTGTGCACTCGGGCTGGGGACCTGAGGCCCTGCAATGGGCCGCAGAGGTCAAGGCCACATACTGGGTGTCCTCTCCCAGTGGCTGGCGTCCAGAAGCCTGGGGGTCCCCCTCTCTGCCAAATGAGAGGCAGTCACGTCAGGTGTGGCATCGCCGCGTGTCAGCTCTTCCCTCTGGCACAGCTGGCGTCGCTCAGAGAGTGGGCAGGAGGGCGCCCGCAGTCCCCGCCCGGCCTGCGCGGATGGCGGGCGCCGCGGCCCCGCCCAGGTCCCCCCGGGCGGCGCGGGCGGCGGCCCTTACCTGGTTCCTGCGGTACCACTCGCCCGACATCGAGCCATTGCCGGCGTCCGGCGCCCAGTACGTGAAGTTGCGCGACAGCTCGTCCAGGGCGGCCGAGGCGGCGTCCCCGGGGCCCGCTGGCACCAGCGCCGCCATTAGGTCTCGCTCCTGGCGCTCGGGCTGCGGCAGTCTCCCCGCGGGGCCGCCCCGCCAGCAGGCCGCTCTGAAGCCACTTCCTGCCCAGTGGCCCTGCGAGGCGGACGCGCCGGCCACCTGGCTCCCGCCCCCGCGCGCGGCAGGTGCGGCGCCCTTCCGCCAGCTCTGCCCAGCGCGGCCGTCTCCTCCCCGCGCCCCGCCGGAGCCCCGCGCTCTGCGGCCTCCAACCCCGCCGGGGCCAGCGCCACGCTGCGGGGCAGAGCCCAGGCCAGTCCGCGCCCGCTGCCCACCCCTGTCGGGGCGAGATTAGACGGTCTCCAATGCCCTCCTGCAAATCTGTGCCCTAGTGAATGGAAGAGCAAGGAGCCATTGGCTAATAATCCAAAGAGCTACCTTCCCGGACTGTACCGGGCAATTTCAGCTCTCTGTTACGTGTGCAGAGATCCTCATATTTGGATTTAAAATTGTTTGCATATGGAAGAGTCAAGAGTTCCCCCAAATACTGTGAACGATGTGCGAATAAAGATCCCAGCAAATAATCTTGGTGCCAGCACTTGAGAGATGCTTACTAACTGTTCCTGGAATGAAGGACGGAATCCCCAGTGGTAGCTGGAGGATCCCAACGTGTATTTGATGACTGAATGGGGTTTCCTTCAGAAAGGACCAGAAGGAATGGCTGAAGAGTTGCCAGCTACTGCATATAAAATTTTAGGACAGGAGAGAAATGTGAAATGAGAAATGAATGATGTTAAGAGCTCTAACCAGATGTTCTGGTTTTACCTGTTTTCAAATTGTATTACTACAATGATCAGTAAGGTATCTCGCGCTTTAAGAATAACATGATTTTATATTGTTGCCTGAAACGCTGGGACTTGGAATTCTTTCACTTACACAATGCTGAGATTCTTCCTAAATAATGTGCTTAAATAATGTGCTCTTTCATGAAAGAGACATTGGAGAAAAGAGAATTGCTGCCTAGCAGGGAATAGTGAAGATCCTGATTATTTCTTTCTTTTCTTTTTTCTTTTTTTTTCTAATCAGTTATACATGGCAGCAGAATGCGCTTCGATTCATTGTACACAAACAGAGCACAAGTTTTCACTTCTCTGTTCACGAAGTAGGGTCGCACTATTCGTGCAATCATACATGTACCTAGGATAATGATGTCTGTCTCCTTCCACTATCTTATCCCCTTGCTTCCTCCCCTCTGCCCAAAGTTCATCCACTCATCTTATGCACCCCACCTCCATTATGGATTAGCATCCATTTATCAGAGAAAACATTCAGCCTTTGATGTTTGGGGATTGGCTGACTTTGCTTACCATGATATTCTCCAACTCCATCCATTTACCTGCAAATGCCAAAATTTAATTCTCTTTTATTGCTGAGTAATATTCCATTGTGCATATATACCACAGTTTCTTTATCCATTTATCTATTGAAGGGCATCTAAGTTTGTTCCACAGTTTGGCTATTGTAGACTGTGATGCTATAACCTTGATGTGGTTGTCAGTGTAGTATGCTGTTTTTAAGTCCTTTGGGTATAGATCAAGGAGTGAGATAGCTGGGTCAAATGGTGGTTCCATTCCAAGTTTTTTAAAGGAATCTCCATACTCCTTTCCAGATTGGTTGCACCAATTAGCAGTCCCACCAGCAATGCATGAGTGTGCCTCCCCGCTGCCCTCCTGACTATTTCTTAAGGGAAATGTGCAAATAAGAGTAGAAAATGAAAAGCAATCTTTTCAGATACAGAAAAAAAAATAAGACGAATCATCTCAGAAGTTGTGTAGTTTCTTGCTTGAGCAACCAAAATGTTCTGTGAACAGTTAATGATGATGGTTATCTATTCCTAACTTAAAGAGGCCAATTTATTTAAAATAAATATCTATAGGAAAAGCTGTATTTTTAAAAAATAATGTCATATTAATTCATCTTGGTGACTTTATTAAATGCTTCTTTCTCTTCCTATGCTGTAGAGTGCAAGCAACAGAAGATCCAAATCAAAGCGGCTTAAGCCATAAGCATCTGTTATCTTAAAGGGAATGTTTCTCTATATGGTTCTATGACTTTGCCACTGGATTTTTCTGCCCTGTAGAGCTTTTTGACATCGGCCTGGTTCTTTTAAAAAGGAAAACTTTCCCCAGAACCACCCCCAGGCTGCCCCACCCCCAGATCCCATTGGCCAGAACGCATCACATGCCTGTATCATACTGCAAGGAGACTGGGAAAGTGATTCTTGGGCTTTTCCAGTCTCAAGAGTAGGAGGTGAGCTTTGCCAGCCAGGGATAACAAGGTAGACTGGGGATGGCAGAGGGAACCAGCAGATCCTAGCATGATCACTTTTTTTTAAGTATTTTCTATCAGCCAGATTGGAATTAGTCTTGCCGTCTCTAACAAGCAAAATACTAAACAGATCGTGTTCCTTTCCAGTTTAAAATGCCTCACATTCTCACCATTGACACAATAAAGTTCACATTTTAAACCTAGCATGAGACCCTTTATGATCCGGCCCCGATTCTCTGCACTCGTTCTCACTTTATTTTTAACTTAAAAAAATAATTTTCAGTATCTTTATATTTGTTTAAAGCCTCTAATTTGGAAAGACAGTATTAGCTGCAGAAAGATATGATTGTACAGCCTACGACATGTTGTTCAACGGATTCCAAGATGCCATTGCCATTGCTGCTGCTGTCCTAGTGTATGTGGGTGGTTTCAATGAAGAATTCGTGACCAGAGTTTCTTCCCACACAGTTCACAAGGAGGCGGCAGGAATGCCGTGTGAACTATTTTGGTCCCAGCTGTGTAGGCGGAGCTGTGGAGACTGTTCTGTGCTTTGTGGTGGCCTCTGCCTTTTGCAGGGTTCTGCAGGGGATATCCTGTTCACTTTACAGGATGCCAAAAGTGTTTGATCAACCTCCTGTCTTCAGTGCCTCAACCTGGAGGTCTGTCTTCCTTGATTAATTCAAAGAATTCTATTCTGGTACCACATCATTTGAAGAGGGACTTCACCATGAACTTGGAGAACAGGATTACATTTGCCAGCCTTGCTTGGAATCTTCCACTTGCAACATAAAAGAAACTCTTTTTTTAAAATTATTATCTTTGGCAAGAATCAGTCAACATTAGATATTGAGTGTGTAAGGGTCTAAGGTAAAGATTAATTCAAAATTCACACATCATATACAAAAGCCGATTCCAGATTAATGACTGTAATGAGAAAAGCAAAACTTGATATCTTTTAGAATAACATTATGAGGTAATCCCTACAAAAAAAGTAGTTTGGCAGTTGTTACAGCACAAAGAATGAAGGTAGATTATCTGTGTTCAAATCCTGACTCCACTGCTTAGTTGCTGGGTGACTTTGATCTAGTTGCTTAATTTCTCTGAACCTTTAATTGTCTATCTGTAAAAGGGAAATTGAATACCAAACACTTAAGAAGTGCTGGATGAGTTTGGGCCATTACTATTTATAACCTTAGAAGAGGTTAAGATTCCTTAAACAGATACAAAAATACAAACCACAGAAGAAAAGATTGAGAAGTGTGATTATACCAAAATTAAGAACTGCTATAAATCAATTGTGCAAAGTGTGAAAAGATAAGTCACAAACTGAAAAGATATATTTGTCACACAGATGACTGACAAACAATTCACATCCAGAATGTATGAATAATTCTAATAGGTCAGTAAGAAAAATATCATCAGGGCTGGGGACATAATTCAGTGGTAGAGTGCTTGTTTAGAGTAAATGAGGACCTGTGTTCTAGTCCTAGGACCAGAAAGAAAAAAAATCATACAACCCTAGAAAAATGAGCAAAAACATACATGGTCATTTTTGAAATGAGAAAAAAATATGAGTGGCTACATAATCATATATAAAATACTTCTATCTAATCAATAGCCAGAAAAATACAAATTAAAACCCCCAATGAGAACTATTTTTATATCCACTGGTTGTCAAAAACAAATTTTTAAAAATTTATATACTGTGCATTTTTAAAGATGTTGAGAAATAGAAATTCAAGGCTAATGCTACTGATATTGGAGCTTGGTAATATTTTGTTAAGATGCAGATGTGTATATGAATTTCACTCTTAGGTACCTACACAAAGAAACATTTGCACATGGACAGGAAGGAAGTCATACAAGGATAATAGCACTTTTTTTTAATAGCAAGAAACCTGGAAACAGCTCAAGTATCCATTCAGCAAGAATAGGAGGCAAATGAATTTTTATACATCTAAGTAATGGAATACTATATAGCAAAGAAACTCTGAACCTGAGCTACTCAGTGCATGAATCCCACAAAAGGTGAGTTCAGTTTGTTTGATATTCTGAATTTGAGGAGCTTGTGGAGTATTCAAGTAGAAATAGATGTGCAGATTAAGGTGCACAGTTAAGAGCGGGGCCCAGGAAATAGATTTAGAAGTCCCCAGCACCAGAAAAATCATATGGCTAACATCTGCTCTAAAGCAATATTTAGCAAACCTCTTCTGTAAAGAACTGGGTAAAAATATTTTAGGTTTTGTGGATCATATAATTTCTGTCACAACTGCCATGGCCATATGGAGGTAGCCCCAGATGACATGTGAGTAAATGGATGTTGCTGTGTTCCAATAAAACTTTATTTACAAAAACAGGAAGTGGGTTGGATTTGGCCCAGGAGTCACAGTTTGCCAACTCCTATGCTAGAAAGAGAAGCGTCAAGCATAGAACAAAAGGCAATTTTTTAAAAAATTTGATTGGTAAGTGAATATATGTGCTAAGTGAATATATGTGCTATGTTTCATGACGTTCAAATAACAGAATCCCAATTCAAAGGGAAATTCAATAAGTCTTGCTTGAAACCTGTGAGGGTGGGGTAGATCCTGGCCACTGGATGTAAGAACATGATTGTGGGGGATGGGCTTCATTCTCAGATCGGCTTCATATTGTGAGATCTTTGCCACAGTAGCTCCTGTTGACTGTATTTATATCCTGGGTTCAGAACAGTAAAAGGAGTCCCAGTTTCTCATGCCCCCACATGCAGAGATATCTGCATGATAATCCCCACCCATGGCCTAATGACCCCCAATTCCTCCCACTAAAAGCATCTTCCCA